ATTTCATAAAATTAGCCATAATTTATAACTAAAAGTAGTTATAATTTATATCTAATTTATTTAAATTAGTATAAATATAACAAAAACTATAATAGGTTATCTTTGGAGTTCTGGTTTGTAAACTTCTTCAGGAAAGGAAAAGATGCTATAATAAGTGTTTAATATTGACTATATACACTGTTTGAATAAAGTTATTGGCGCAACAGTTAAGTGCTCAGCTGCTAACCAAAAGGTTGACAGTTCAAACCTACTCAGTAACTCTGGGAGAAAGACCTGGCAATCTGTTTCCGTAAAGAAAATAAAACCCTATGGAGCAGTTCTGCTCTGACATGTGGGGTCACTGCAAGTTGGAAGCAACTTGACAGCACTCAGCCAATAACAACATCATCTTGACTCTAAAGGCCAATGCTAGTAACTCTTAAAAGCCGCTTTAAAAACCCCTTTTCTATATTTGGACAATTTAAAGTAAGTAATGTAGTAAAGCCTGCTCCAAAATACTACATTTTTAAGCAATAAATAGTAGTTAGAATGCAGTTTGGATCCTGAAATTCTTGTGTATAAGGCCATGAGAATACTGACTGTATTTTTTATTGCTGCTGTAACAAATTACCACACACTTAGTGGCTTAAAACAACACAAATTTATTATTGTACAGTTCTTCAGGTTAGAAGTTTGACAAAGCTCTCACTGGGCTAAAATCAGTATGTCAGCAGGGCTGTGTTCCTTCGTGGAGGCTCTAGGGGAGAGTCTGTTTCCTTGCTTTATCGAAGTCTCTAGAAGCCGCCTACATTCCATATGTCATGGCTCCCTTCTTTTGTCTTCAGAGCGAGCAGTGTTGTATCACTGACCATTCTTCCACAGTCATATCCTCCTCCTTTTCTGCTTTTAAGGACCAGTATAGTTATATTGGGCCCACCTGGGTAATCCAGGATCATCTCCCCATTTCAGGGTGGCTATTTTGTCGCTATGAGTCAGAATCGACTCGACGGCAGCAGGTTTGGTTTGGGTTTTTTTAACTGAATCACATCCTTTTGCCATATGATAACATAGCTGCAGATTTTGGAGATTAGGACATGGGCATCTTTTGGGAGTGTCATCATTCTGCCTACCGTACTGACTCTGTATAAACATGTAGCACTGTACCCTAAGATGCCCCTAGTTTTTTTTTTTTTTTTTTTTTTTGCTAAAGAAAGAAATTAATTCTGTGACTTCTAGTCACAGAGCTCTTAGATTTTTCCATGATTTTCCATGGATATCATTTGTGAAAGTATACCAAAATGAAAAAAAAAAGTTATTAATGTGTTATTGCCTTTTGGAATGATACAGTATCAAAAACAAATTGTCTTGCCACATCTTGACACAGTTACCTTAGAATTCCCTAAATCCTAAGAAAGATTGTTGGGTCAGAGTGTATGTAATATCATCAGTTACTGTTATTTATTAGTTAATTCACATGCATATGTTCTACTAAAACAAGGTGAATACCTTCATTTAAAATATAATATTCAAATAGAGAACTCCAGAAATACTATCCTACTCTCTTGGTGCTGCTGTAACAGAAATGCCACAAGTGGATGGCTATAACATACAGAAATTTATTTTTTCTCAGTTTAGGAGGCTGTTGTTGTTAAGTGCTGTCAAGTCGGTTCTGACTCATAGTGACCGTATGTACAACAGAATGAAACACTGCCCAGTCCTGTGCCATCCTCACAGTGACTGCTGTGTTTGAGCCCATTGTTGCAGTCACCGTGTCAATCCATCTCATTGAGGATGTTCCTCTTTTTCACTGATCCTCTACCTTACCAAGCATGATGCCCTTTTCCAGGGACTGGTCCCTCCTGATAACATGTTGAAAGTCTGTAAGACAAAGTCTTGCCATCCTCACTTCCAAGGAGCACTCTGGCTGTACTTCTTCCAAGACAGACTTGTTCGTTCTTCTAGCAGTGCATGGTATATTCAGTATTCTTCACCAGCACCATAATTCAGACACATCAATTCTTCTTTGGTATTCCTTATTCATTGTCCAGCTTTCACATGCATATGAGGCGATTGAAAATACCATGGCTTAGATCAGGTGCACCTTAGTTCTCAAAGTGATGTCTTTCCTTTTCAGCACTTTAAAGAGATCTTTTGCAGCAGATTTGCCCAATGCAGTGTGTCGTTTGATTTCTTGACTGCTGCTTCCATGGGCGTTGATTGTGGATCCAAGAAAAATTAAATCTTTGACAACTTCAATCTTTTCTCCGTTTATCATGATTGTTGCTTATTGGTCCAGTTGGAGGATTTTTGTTTTCTCTAGGTTAGGAGGCTGGAAGTCTGAATTCAGGGCACTGACTCTAGGAGAAGGCTCCCTATTGCCTCTAGGAGAAAACCCTTTTTTAAGTTTCTGTTCCTCGGTTCCTTGGAGATGTTCATGTGCCGTGGCGTGTATTTTCCACCATCTGTGCTTGCTTGCTTCTGTGCCTGATCTGCTCTTTTATATCTTAAAAGTGATTGGCTTAAGAAACATTCTACACCATTATGGCCTCATTAACATAAAAATGAAAAACTGTATTCGCAAATGGGATTATATCCACAGGTACAGGGGTTAGTATTCCAACACACATTTTGGGAAGACACAATTCATTCTCTGACACCTGGGTTATAATCTCCTAACATGAGACAGACTAATGCATATATTTAAGTATTTGGGTAGTAAGCTTTTTATTTCTAATTTCTACAGGGATAAAAATAGATGGATTTGCTATTGTATAGTTCAAGCCCTTTGAGCTCTAGATCAGGATCATATCCATCAACTTTTAGCTGAGAACTGAACAGAACAAAGCACACAACAGAGAAAGCCTGGAGCAGCAGGAGTGAGAGAGCACGTGGATCAGAACGAGGCTAGAGGGATAGAAAGATCCTGGTGCATGTATCATGTATATTTTCCTCATGAGAGCATTATGGAGTCATACAAGGGTTTTAAGCAAGGGGTAGTATGATAAAGTTTCTGTTTTGGAAAGGTCACTCTTGCTGCACTGCTGACCTGATTGGAAGGGGAACCAGAGTGGATGTAGATAGGCCAATTAGGAAACTACTGCAGTTGTCACGTGACAGATGATAGTAGCTTGGATTACAATGGTGATAGTGGAGGTCGAGAGAAGTGGACCAGTGAGAGGTAATTTCATAGGTAAAATAAGATATGATGATAGACTGGATTAAGAGGAGGGGCAGGGAAAAGAAGGGGCTAAGAGTGACTCCTAGGTTTCTCGTTTGTGAAACTGAATGGACAGGGATGCAATCCTTTTGAGATAGGGAACATTGGAAAAGAACCAAACTATTTTTGTTGGGGAGGACCATGAAACACCAGTTTGGTTTGGATATATGAATTTGAAAATACCTTTGAGATATCCAGAAAGATGTCCAATAGGCAGTTGATTAAATGGGTTGGAACTCAGAAGAAAGGTCTGGCCTAGAGAAAGTTAAATTTGCTTGTCACCTTCGTATAGGTGGGAAATCAAATTCAGTGGTTCTTTTCTTTTTTATTGTGCTTTAAGTGAAAGTTTACAATTGAAGTTAGTCTTTCAAACAAAAATTTATGCATAGTTAGGTGACCCTAGTTGCTCTCTCTGTACTATGATAGCACACTCCTCCTTTCCACCCCACATTTCCCATGTCCATTCAGCTAGCTCCTGACCCTCTCTACCTTCTCATCTCGCTTCCAGACAGGAGCTGCCCATTTAGTCTCATGTATCTACTTGAGCTAAGAAGCACACTCTTACACGAGTATCAGTCTAATCTTTGTCTGAAGAGTCGGCCTCGGGAATGGTTTTAGTTTTGGGCTAAAAGAGAGTCTGGGTGCCACGTCTTCCAGGGTCCCCCCAGTCTCAGTCAAACCATTAAGTCTGTCTTTTTGCTAGAATTTGAGTTCTGCACCCAGTTTTCTCCTGCTCTGTCAGGGACTCTGTTGTGTTCTCTGTCAGGGTGGTCATTAATGGTAGCCGGGCACCATCTAGATCTTCTGTTCTCAGGCTGATGAAGTCCCTGGTTTCTGTGGCCGTTTCTATCTGTTGGGCTATTACTTCACTTGTGTCTTTGGTGTTCTTCATTCTCCTTTGCTTCAGGTCGGTTGGGACCAATTGATGCATCTTAGACGGCCGCTTGCTAGCTTTTAACACCCCAGATGCCACTCACCAAAGTGGGATGCAGAACATTTTCTTAATAAACTTTGTTATGCCAGTGGACCTAGATGTCCCCTGAAACCATGGTCCCCAGACCCCTTGCCCCTGCTACTCTGCTCCTTGAAGTGTTTGATTGTATTCAGGAAACTTCTTAGCTTTGGTTTAGTCCAGTTGTGCTGACTTCCCCTGTAGTGTGTGTTGTCCTTTCCTTCATCTAAGATAGTTCTTATCTACTATCTAGTTAGTGAATAACCCTCTCCATCCCTCCCCACCCTCATAACCATCAAAGAATGTTTTTTTCTGTGTTTAAACCTTTTCTTGAGTTTTTATAGTAGTGCTCTTATACAATATTTGACCTTCTGCGACTGAATAAATTCACTCAGCATAATGCCTTTCAGATTCCTCCATGTTATGTTTCACGGATTCATCGTTGTTCTTTATCGTTGTGTAGTATTCCATTGTGTGAATATACCATAATTTGTTTATCCATTCATCTGTTGTTGGGCACCTAGGTTGTTTCCATCTTTTTGCTATTGTGGACAGTGCTGCAGCGAACATGGGTGTGCATATATCTATTCACGTGACAGCTCTTATTTCTCAAGAGTATATTCCAAGGAGCGGGATTGCTGGATTGTATGGTACTTCTATTTTTAGGTTTTTAAGGAAGTGCCAAATTGATTCCAAAGTGATTGTACCATTTTACATTCCCACCAACAGTGTATAAGTGTTCCGGTCTCTCCGCAACCTCTCCAACATTTCTTATTTTGTGTTTTTTGGATTAGTGCTAGCCTTGTTGGGGTGAGATGGTATCTCATTGTAGTTTTGATTTGCAAATCTCTAATGGCTAATGATCATGAGCATTTCCTCATGTGTCTGTTAGCCGCCTGAATGTCGTCTTTGGCGAAGTGCCTGTTCATATCCTTTGCCCATTTTTTAATGGGGTTATTTGTCTTTTTGTTGTTGAAGTTTTGCAGTATCTTGTAGATTTTAGAGATTAGACGCTGATCGGATTTGTCATAGCCAAAATTTTTTTCCCTGTCTGTAGGTTGTCTTTTGACTCTTTTAGTGAAGTCTTTTGGTGAGCGTAAGTGTTTGATTTTTAGGAGCTCCCAGTTATCTAGTTTCTCTTCTGGTGTTTGTGTATTGTTACTTATGATTTGTATTCTGTTTATGCTGTGTATCAGGGCTCCTAGCATTGTCACTATTTTTTCTTCTATGATCTTTATCATTTTCGATTTTATATTTAGGTCTTTGATCCATTTTGAGTTAGTTTTTGTGCATGGTGTGAGGTATGGGTCTTGTTTCAGTTTTTTGCAGATGGATATCCAGTTATGCCAGCACCATTTGTTAAAGAGACTGTCTTTTCCCCAATTAATGGACTTTGGGCCTTTGTCAAATATCAGCTGCTCATAGGTGGATGAATTTACGTCTGGATTCTTAATTCTGTTCCATTGGTCCATGTATCTGTTGTTGTTCCAGTACCAGGCAGTTTTGACTACCTTGACGGTATAATAGGTTCTAAAATCAGGTAGTGTGAGGCCTCCCACTTTGTTCTTCTTCTTGAGTAATGCTTTAGTTATTCCGGGGCCTCTTCCCTTTCCATCTGAAGTTGGTGATTTGTTTCTCCATCTCATTAAAAAATGCTGTTGGACAAATTCAGTGGTTCTTGAACTTGAGTCGCAGATCCCCATAACTAGGCATTTTGATGTATTTTAATCTTCACAAGTGACTTTAAAATGCAGCCAGGATTCTCTGCTCTCACCACTTTTTTTTATCAATGTCTCTCTTTTCCTGCTAATGAGATTTATTGTGGTTGTCTGTTTATATTCATTTTGTATAGATACCATTTACTCATATCTCTATCTGGATGTCTCCTAGCCCTTTATCTCTGACCATGATAGTTCTCCTTCCCTCTAGTCTTCGATTTTCAATTTTTACAGTTCACGTCTATTTGGATGTCTCACCATTACTTCAAATGCAACATGTCCCAAACCAAACACATTGTCGTTGCAGCTTTTTCCCATTTCTCTCATTTGTATCATTATTTTTTTCAAATCACCCAATTTAGAAACTTTGATGTCTTACAGCTGTTAACACCATGAATTCATGCTCTTAGATTGGGATGTTGCAGTGGGCTGGGACACAATGTAAAGAGTGAGTTTAGGAGTCAGACTAGGGTTTAAAACCTGGCTTCTCCACTTATTAGGTATAAGACGTTGGACCCTTAACTTCTCTGACTGTTTCCTTATATATAAGATGGGGATAGTACTCCCTGCCTTTTAAGGTTGTTGTGAACTAGCAATAATTTATAAGCGACTTAGTACAGTACATAGAAAATAAAGGATATTCAGTAAACGATTAATTTTGTTACCATTAACTGATCTCCTTGCCTTTAACTTCCTCTCTCCTTCTTCTATTCTGTTTGCTACACATTACTTTTTTTTTTAGAATGCTGGTATTGCATATATAGTCTCACTTTCCTTTTCTCTGTTTAATTCACTGTATGCATCTTTAGAAATTTCTTAAATCATTTTAGCAACAAGGTAAGTGTCTTAGTCATTTAGTGCTACTATAACAGAAATACCACAAGTGGATGGTTTTAACAAAGAGTTTATTCTCTCACGGTCCAGTAGGCTAAAAGTCCAGGTGAATGCTTTCTCTGTCGGCTTTGGAGGAAGGTCCATGTCATCAGTCTTCCCTTGGTCTGGGAGCTTCTCTCTGCAGGAACCCCAGGTCCAAAGGACGTGCTCTTCTCCTGGCACTGTTCTCTTAGTGATATGAAGTTCCTATGTGTCTCTGCTGATTTCTCTTTTATATCTCAAAAGAGACTGGCTTAAGACACTATCTAATCTTGTAGACCTCATCAGTATATCTGCAGCTAATGCATCTTATTATATCATAGTGATAGAATTTACAACACATAAGGAAATCATATCAGATTACAAAATGATACACAATCATACACTACTGGGAATCATGACCCAGCCAAGTTGACGTATATTTTTGGGGGACACAATCCAATCCATGACAGGGAATAGATAAATAAAATATTCCCCAAATATGCTAGACCCTTCAGATCTGCTTAGCTGAACAATCTGGTTTGACGAATAGTTTCATAATTTAGAGACACTCAGGTTCATGAAATCCATAAAAACACGCCAAAGTCCAACATCAATGATTTTACAAAAATTATTTGTATCACTGCCATTCTCTACTAATACAATTTTGTGTATTTTTAAAGAGAACTCTCACTGTAGCTATTGTTGACTAGGTCTTATTTTCCCTCCTCGTAAGCTTTTTGAGCGCTAGGGGTTTGTCTTATTCATAATTTTCTATTTTCTCCCCATCTCAGCCTCCACCCAAGCTTAGCACAGGGTCTTATATATCATGGATGTTTAATAAATGTTTGTTGCTTTTCAGTATGTCTTTCCTCTACTCAGGAATTGTCTTAGTCATCTAGTACTGCTCTAACAAGTGGGTGGCTTTAACAAAGATAAATTTTTTTCACTATACTGGAAATCATGGCCCAGCCAAACTGATACACACATTTTTGGGGGGACATAATTAAATCCATGAGATTCCACCCTTTGTCCCCCCCAAAATTACATCCTTGCAACATACAAAACATATTCAGCCCATCATAAATAGCAAAAGTCTTAACTCCAAGTCCAGAATCCAAAAATTCCTCTTCATCTGTGAAATCTAGAATACAAATTATCTGCTTCTAAAGGTGCAATGGCGGAACAGGCACAAGCTAGACATTTCCGTTACAAATGGGAGAAACTGGAGGGAAAGAAGGGATAACAGGCACCAAGCAAGTCAGCAGAATACTTTAGCCCTCAAGGCTTTGAAAATAATCCTCTGTTCTCAGAGACAGTTTACACAATGGCCCTGCCCTCCAGACTCTAGGTATTGGCCATACTCTCCAGATTCTAAGTGGAGGCCCCTTGGCCCTGGGCTTCAGCTCTGCCTTCCAGGCCCACTGGGACAGCAACTCTGCTCTGTTGGCTTCAGGCCCACCATTCTCCTAGTCCATCTGAGTGGCGACTCCACCCTTAGAAACACCAGAGGCCGTGACTCCACCCTTTGAAACCCTAGAGGCCACAGCCATACCTTTTGAGACTGAGGCAGCTCAGCTTCTTGTGTCCCTTGTCTCTTCAGCTTCTGCTTCCTGTGGCCTCTCAGCCCTTGGGCCTCATGCCCACATCTGCCCTGCTGGGGCAAGTGTTCCAAAGCTCTATAGCACCACCAGTAGGTGCCTGGAGGCACCCTACTCTGCCAGGAAGCCTCCTGCACACAGGCACTCAGCTCTGTTGCTCCTTGGGTCAGCTACAGTGCCGTCTCACACTGGTCTCCTGGTTCTGCTGCTGCAGGTTCTCTGCTGCTGCAGGTCCTCTGCTGCTGCAGGTCCTCTGCTGCTGCAGGTCCTCTGCCGCTGCCACTTCTCTATCCATTCACAGTTTCAAAACCGCTTCCACATTTTAGGTATCTGTTAGAGCAGCACCCCACTCCCAGTACCAAATTCTGTCTTAGTCATCTAGTACTGCTCTAACAGATACTACAAGTTTATGGCTTTAACAGAGAAATTTATTTTCACAATACTGGAAATCATGGCCCAGCCAAACTGATAACACACATTTTTGCGGGGACATAGTTCAATCCATGACAGGAATGTATTGTGGGTTCTTACTGATCACATTGTGTTAACTCATATAGTTAGGACAACATATCCAGCCCCACGCATCCAGCCTGATTTCCCACTACTTTACTTTAGACTCCACTTGAGTTAATTTGATCTTTGAAATGTCATTATAAATATCACTCAATGCTTTGCTCATACTGTTCTTTGGATCTGAAATGCGCCCATCACTCTTCCTACCCATTTGTTAGCTCAGTTTGAGTTCTGCCTCTTCTGTGAGGGGTGCCCCAACAACCCTGCCTATGCTTATGATTTCCCTTCTTTGAATTCCTAGCATTTGCATTCTGTGCTGTATAATTCACCTATTAATTATATCTGATCTTGATTATAGAGGAATTTCCTCATGTGAAATGTAAGAACAGTACTATCTACCTCACAAAATTATATGGAGGTGACATGAAATAGAGTACAAGAAAGCACTTTTTAAGCTGTAAAGTACTATGCACATCTTGTTGTTTATAGTTTTCTTTTTTTTTTATGTTACAGTCTCCTTGAGGATAGAAATTATATCTAGTAGCTTTTGTATTTTTTATAAAGATCCTAGGCAGTGCTAGATATATGGTAAATGTTCATGAAATATGCATTGACTGGATAACCTAATCTTAAATGTATTTTTTCTTCTAGGAGCTATTCATCACTAATGAAAGTTGAGAATATGTCTTCAAATCAGGTATATTCAAGTTATTTGCTGTTATGTACCTTTAAACAAATCACTAAGGGTTTGTAATAATTGAGCCACTAGTCATTATTGATTTGCATGTTGCAAATAACTTGACATGATTTGGCAGCTGTAGGACTAGGACTATTAAATTTGTTAGATAAGAGCTGTGAGATGTTCTCATGTGTCTCTGTTTAAGTAGAACACCTCATGGAAAGAGATCACCATATCTCGTCTACTGTGAAGTGTTGTTCTGTTGGTGTTTATAGGCCTTTCTTCCATTCCTTTTTTCCCTCTTTTCTATTGAAGGCATGAAAAAGTACCTTTTATTTTCTATGGAGCCCTGGTGGCACAGTGATTAAGAGCTTGGCTGCTAACCAAAAGGTTCGGCAGTTTGAATCCACCGGCCACTCCTTGGAAACCCTATGGAGCAGTTCTGCTCTGTCCTATAGGGTCGCTATGAGTCAGAGTCGACAGCAGTAGGTTTGGTTTTTGGTTTTATAGTCATGTGATGATAGACTCTATTGTAATAAAGGCAAGGACAAAATTATCACCTACAATTAAAATAAAAGTATAAACCCTGAGATCTTATATTATAGCCTAAGGGACAGAATTAGTTCTTTGTGTTCCTCAGGACCTAGAATAAGGAGAAATGGTGATCTATAACATAGTACTGAAAGGATCTTCTTAACATTCACAACTAATTATTTTATTGGAATTGTGTTAGAGATTTAGAGCCCATTAGGACTGTCTTTCCCAAAACTTACTTTGAAGTATATGGAGATAGCGCTGTTTAACTATTATTGAACATTCTTTGCAGGAAATGGAAACTGGGTGGATATATTTGGGATATTGCATGTATTATAGTATAGTTGACAAGTATATATGCTTTATATTTGTGTTCAGTATGGTAGCCCCTAATTACATGTGGTTATTTATATTTAAATTAATTAAATTTAAATTAAAAACTCAGTTATACTAACCATATATGACTAGTGACTGTCATATTGAACAGCGCAAATATCGAACATTTTCATCATTGCAGAAAGTACTGTTAACAGTGCTGTTTAGATATGTGGAAATAATTAACAGAATTTAAGATCCCTTAAGGATCATCCAGTCAAGTCCCATATTTAGTGAATTGGAATCGTTAATAGGATTTAGGTCTTGTTCATATATCCTTCTAAAAATGAATAAGAGCATCCTTATCCTCATCTCTATGAGAACTGAATTTATGAGGCTCCTTCATGAATCAGAGAAATATCTTTATAATTTATTCCTGAAAAATTCTAGAGTGGCATCATGTAATTAAATAGAGCCTTGAATTTGAAGTATAAGACTTAGGTCCTGAGTTCAAATGTAAATGGTCATTTACTAATTGGGTAAACCTAGTAAAGTTATTTAACCTCTCTGAAGGAGTATTCACCAACAATACAATGGTACATACTACTTCACAGGACCATTCTAAGGTTTAAACAAGGGCATACATGTTAAAGTCCTTCCTCGACTCTGTCATCATATGAATATTTAAAAAAAAAAAACCTGTTTTTGTTTGTCATATTCTGACTCATAGCAACCCTGTAGGTCAATTCTGACTCATAGCGATGCAATAGGAGAAAGTAGAACTTCCCTATAGGGTTTCGAAGACTGTAATCTTTACAAAAACAGTCTGCCATATCTTTCTTCCTTGGAGCAGCAGCTGGTGGGTTCGAACCAGCCAAGTGCTTAACCGCTGCACCGCCGGGGCTCGTTTGTATGAATATAAGTGGTCACTATTATTCCTTATCCATATGTCTCTAGTTACTGTTGTCCCTAATGTATCTATATCAAAATATGTTGTTGTTAGGTGCTGTTAAGTCGGTTCCGACTCATAGCAAACCTATGTACAACAGAAGGAAGCACTGCCCAGTCCCGCACCATCCTCACAATCGTTGTTGTGCTTGAGCCCATTGTTGCAGCCACTGTGTGAATCCATCTCGTCCAGGGTCTTCTTTTTTTTCACTGACCCTCTACTTTACCAAGCATGATGTCCTTCTCCAGGGGCTGGTCTCTCCTAATAACATGTCCAAAGTATGTAAGATAAAGTCTCGCCATCCTTGCTCCTAATGAGCATTCTGACTGTACTTCTTCCAAGACAGATTTGTTTTTCTGGCATTCCGTGGTATATTCAGTATTCTTTGCCACACCGTAATTCAAAGGCATCAATTCTTCTTCGGTGTTCCTTAGTCATTGTCCAGCTTTCACATGCATATGAGGCAGTTGAAAACACCATCCTTTGGGTCAGGTGTACCTTAGTCCTTAAAGTGACATCTTTGCTTTTTGACAGTTTAAAGAGGTCTTTTGCTGCAGATTTACCTAGTGCCATGCGTCATTTGATTTCGTGACTGCTGCTTCCATGGGCATTGATTGTGGATCCAAGTAAAATGAAATCCTTGACAACTTCAGTCTTTGTTTATCACGATGTTGCTTATTGGTTCAGTTGTGAGGATTTTGGTTTTCTTTGTTGAGGTGTAATCCATTCTGAAGGTCTTTGATCTTCGTCAGTAAGTGCTTCAAGTCCTCTTCACTTTCAGCAAGCAAGGTTGTGTCGTCTGCATATCACAGGTTGTTGATGAGTCTTCCTCCAATCCTGATGCCCTGTTCTTCATATAGTTCAGCTTCTCAGATTATTTGCTCAGCACACAGATTGAATAAGTATGGTGAAAGGATACAACCCTGATGCGCACCTTTCTTGACTTTAAACCACGCAGTATCCCCTTGTTCTGTTCGAACAACTGCCTCTTGGTCTATGTACAGATTCCTCATTGGGCACAATTAATTGTTCTGGAATTCCTGTTCTTATCCATAATTTGTTATGATCCACACATTTGAATGCCTTTGTATAATCAATAAAACACAGGTAAACATCTTTCTTATATTCTCTGCTTTCAGCCAGGATCCATCTCACATCAGCAGTGATATCCCTTGTTCTACAACCTCTTCTGAATCTGGCTTGAATTTCTGGCAGTTCCCTGTCAGTGTACTGCTGCAACCGCTTTTGAATGATATTCAGCAAAATTGTACTTGCATGTGATATTAATGATATTGTTTGATAATTTCTGTATTCTGTTGGATCTCCTTTCTTTGGAATGGGTACAAATATGGCTCTCTTCCAGTTGGTTGGTCAAGTAGCTGTCTTCCAAATTTCTTGGCATAGATGAGTGAGTGCTTCCAGCATTGCATCCATTTGTTGAAACATCCCAATTGGTATTCTCTCAGTTCCTGGAGGCTTGTGTGTTGCCAATGCCTTCAGTGCAGCTTGGACCTCTTCCTTCAGTACCATTGGTTCTTGATCATATGCCACCTCCTGAAATGGTTGAACGTCAACCAGTTCTTTTTGGTACAGTGACTGTATATTCCTTCCATCTTCTTTTGATGCTTCCTGCATTGTTTAATATTTTCCCAGTAATATCCATCAGTATTGTAACTCGAGGCTTGAATTTTTTCTTCAGTTCTTTCAGCTTGAGAAATGCCAAGCATGTTCCTCCCTTTTGGTTTTCTGTCTCCAGGTGTTCGCACATTTCAGTATAATACTTTACTTTGTCTTCTTGAGCTGCCCTTTGAAATCTTCTGTTCAGGTCTTTTACTTCATCATTTCTTTCACTTTGGGTACTCTGTGCTCAAGAGCAGGTTTCAAAGTCTCTTCTGACATCCATTTTGGTCATTTGTTTCTTTCCTTTCTTTTTAATGACCTCTTACTTTCTTAATGTATGCTGCCCTTGATGTCATTCGACAACTAATCTGGTTTCGGTCATTAGTTTAATGCGTAAAATCTATTCTGGAGATGGTCTGTAATTTCAGATGGGATATACTCAAGGTTGTACTTTGGCTTTCGTGGACTCGTTCTAATTTTCTTTAGCTTCAACTTGAACTGGCATATGAGCAATTGATGGTCTTTTCCACAGTTGGCCCCTGGCCTTGTTCTGACTGATGATAATTGAGCTTTTGCATTGTCTCTTTCCACCAGTGTAGCTGATTTAATTCCTGTGTATTCTGTCTGGCGAGATCATCGTGTATAGTTGCTGCTTATGTTGTTGAAAAAAAGGTATTTGCAATGAAGAAGTCGTTGGTCTTGCATAATTCTGTCATGTGATCACCAAGGCCATATTTTGCAATTACCGATCCTTCTTTGTTTCCAACTTTCACATTCCAATCACCAGTAATTATCAGTGCATCTTGATTGCATGTTTGATCAATTTCAGATTGCAGAAGTTGGTAAAAATCTTCAGTTTCTTCATCTTTGGCCTTAGTGGTTGGTGCGTAAATTTGAATAATAGTTGTATTAACTGGTTTTCCTTGTAGGCATATGGATATTATCCTGTCGCTAACAGCATCGCTAACATACACATCATCTTTTGATCCACCGTGTGTCTGTCAGTTTGTTATACTGTGGTGGCTTGTGTGTTGCTGTGATATTGGAAGCTTTGCCACCAGTATTTCAAATACCAAAGGAGTTACTGTTGGTGGACAGCTTTCAGTTGAACTTCCAGACTAAGACAGACTAGGAAGAAGGACTGGCAGCCTGCTTCTGAAAAAACTGACCAGTGAAAACCTTATGAATAGCAGCAGAACATTGTCTGATACAGTGCCAGAGGATGAGCCTCTCAGATTGGAAGGCACTCAAAATACTACCGGGGAAGGGCTGCCTCCTCAAAGTAGAGTCGACCTTAATGCCGTGGTTGGAGTAAAGCTTTCAGGAGCTTTATCTGCTGATGTGGCCTGACTTAAAACAAGAAGAAACAACTGCAAACACCATTAAAATTGGAAGATGGAATGTACAAAGTACGCATCTGGGAAAATTAGAAGTCATCAAAAATGAAATGGAAAGCATAAAGATCAATATCCTAGTGATATGTTAGTGAGCTCAGTATATATATTAGTGAGCTGAAATGGACTGGTACTGGCCCTTTTGAATCAGACAATCATATGGTCTACTATGCCAGGAATGACAAATTGAAGAGGAATTGCATTGCGTTCATTGTCAAAAAGAATATTTCAAGATCTTTCCTGGCACCCGTATTGTGTTAAGACCTTAGGCATTTTCATTCCCACAATTGTGGAGTTTAAAACACACATAAATAGTATCTGATTAGTGACAGGTGTTAAAAAGCTCCAGGATTAGGAAATGGAATTTGTAGGGCAAATTCCTTTGTCTCCCTCTATTGCTTTCGACTCTTATTCCTGTGCTCCACATTTGAATCAGGTTCAGGTTTCCTGTGGAAGTTCTGTGCTAGTTGTTTTTATTCTGTCAGTGGAAAGGCTGTTAGAACTTTTTTTTTTTTTTTAATCGTACTTCAAAAAGATAGGCTTCAGTTCTGTCTTGTAACCATCTTCAGTTAATGGGATACAGACCTTTTATCATCTAATTTGATAGTATAATCAGTTGATTGTTAGTTAAAAGCTATTGTTCATGTAAGAGAGGACTTGGTTTTTAATTAAGCTTATACAAGTTCATCAGGAACAATATTAGTCTTTCACTCTGAAGTTGGTTTTAATTTTGAGCTTTTGGTCTCCTATTTAGAATAATTCTCTTCGATTTGTACTTTGTAATCCTTCTAAATTTAGTATCAGGAACCATAAACAATTACTTTTAACATTCCTTTATTTGCTTATCACTTTATAAATGGATGACAGGAAACTTCTTTGTTTTACTGAGGAGCATACCGACTCTTAAAGTAAAAAGGCTCTCAAATATAAAAATTGTACAAATAAAGTCTTTCGGGTCTCAGATACTTTTTTAAAAGTTACGGTAACATAGGTCCCCAAACCACATAGGAACTCTTTGCAAATCTTACTCACAGCCGTTACAGGGAATAATGGACTTTCATTGTCACCAACCTAATTATCTTAACAAGTTTTTCATCCTCAGTGTTTGGGATCTAAAGCATACATCATATGATGACTCTTTCAAACATCACTAGCGCTATTATTTCCACTTAGGACCCCAGGGCAGCCACAGTCCATGTACCTGGGTATAATATAAACACTAGTCTGCTCTTTTTATAATTATCTAAAGCATTTTTTACTGTAGCCTCAGTTGTGCCAATTGAAAGGAAGCATAGAAAGAACCACTGAATGAAAATGGAGACAAAACCAAACCAGACCTCACAGAAACATTGTTTTCTACTTGTATCTCATATTTCTCTGTCCATTTTTAATAGGAGCTGATAAGAAAGAGAAAAGCATATATACCTGTAAACTTTTGTAATCTCCCTTTCTCTAATAACAACTTCTCTGGTGTAAGCAATGGGAAAGAAATAGAAGGTGAAACAAATGACCTGGTCAAGTTGACTTTTTAAAGCAAATGTACCAGAATGGATACTATTAAGTGAATGGTAGCATTCAGAATAGTTTGCTTAGGGTGTTCACTAGCTCAGGAAGGAGTCTGGAGCTCTACTTTTGTACTTGGTCTTCAGGACTTGTTTATAAGCCACATGCCATCAGTCCCTTTATATACTGTCACAGAAGGTTGTTTGTTTTGTTTTAACTCAAAAACTTGGCAAGCTGGCTGACTTGATAATTAGCCTATATTTAGCTCCCTAATTAACTATTCCTCTTAAAAACAAAACAACAACAAAAAAAGCTATCTTTGAAGTGACAGATCTGTGACAACTTTGAGGCACAAAATAATGGAATTTGGGCTCACAAAATAGCTCTAAAAGAAGAATGCCAAAAATATTTTGTGTATTGCCAGCATTGTTGGCATATGGGTATTGGTATGCTATTTGATTGCATATTATGCTATATTTTGTTTAAGTTGTTACAGTCCTCTATTAAGTCATTTGGGCCTTATTTGATAATTTAGAAATCATCGGTCACTTGTTACTGTGTAATTAAGTTATGTAACGACATCTTAGAGAATATAGCTGCTAGTCCAGCTATCCCAAGCAGCTAACAATTTAAGATAGAGAAGAAATGATGTGTGGGTTTTATTATTTTACTTTTTACTCTCTGAATTCTGAAATCAGGGTTGAGAAGGAAATGTTTGTTAAGGCTAATTGTAAATTTTAAAAACAGTTATTTTCAAGGCTTTTATGGTTTTACTTTTCTTGTTTCCTACAGGACGGCAATGATTCAGATGAATTCATGTGAATGGAGAAAAGGACCTTTGAAAGATGTGAATTTAGGGACAGTTGCAGACGTCTTGATTTCAGCTATGTTCTGAATTATAAAAAGCAAACAACCAAAATTCTACCTTGATTCTACACAAATATTATTAATTTTGGAAATTTAAAAAATATAGTTCTCTTTTTTGCTGACAGAAAAGGATCAGATATAAGTAATACAATTGAACTCGCAGACAGCATAGAACTTCAGGAAAGTGAAAATATTTTTGTCAGAACATGTCTTGGTTATCTCCTGAAAGTTGGCTGCCCTTGTTTTTTAGGTAGACTTTAGAAAGAACCAACTCTGAAAAATACTTCTTTTACTTGATCTGTCCCTGAAAGACGATGTCCTGAAAAGCTTTTCATATTCTTAAAATATCTTCCCCTCGTGAAGAAGAATGTGTTGGTGGGCAATAAATGTGAGTCTTCCCCCACCCCTGATTTCCTGATTAGAAAAAAATGGCACATAAGCATATGGGTTTTAAAGATGATAGTGTTACCTTCAGAAGACTGCTGGCTTCAATACTCACGTTCCGTGTGTTGTCTGAGTCTGTTAGCACAGTGACCATCAGACTCAGAGCTTGTCGTAGTTTCTGTAGCCTTGCTTTCTTAGAGTGAGAGCCTCCATCTTAGAACCATCCTACTAAATAGTTGGTGTTAATCATGGTTGGGCCTGTGTAAGTTTTTACCTGAGCACCGAGTAACTCAAGCCATGTATTACAACTTCCAGGCTCTGGAGTAATTTCTCAGCAGCAGGGTGAGAAATAGAAAAGGGTTCTCTGTGAATCATTTTGGAAATGTAAGTTACCTGATTTTTGTCTTGGGATGCAGCATGAAGCAAAAGTCCACATTGTAATTATGATTTTTTAGAAATAATCAAGTATTTCACTAGCCAGCCAAGTAATTTGTTTATCTGTCTTGAAATAAGATTTTTTTTTTTTTTTAGTTGTAACCTGAGAGTTCGGATTTCTCAGTTGCAGATTTAGGGATTTAAGATGTAACATTGCTACTTATTTGAACTGCTGTCCAATGTGATTCTGAGTAGAAGATATATTTTTATTGTAGCATTTAAGGCAAGCCCTGTAGAAAGAGAGGAAGCAAAACACTGAAAGGGAAAGAGAACAAAGCCTGCAGGACAGGAGGGATTCCAGTTCATATTTTAACTGCACTCAGAACTCCACGTGCAACATTATTATTCTTACCTGTATTCTAATCCAGCAACAGTGATTTCCTACCAGAAATATTCTACCTGTAACAGCACTTTGGAACTGTGAATAAAACTAAAAGACCTTCGCATTTCAATGTATCTCAAGTTGGTATGTTGAAATGAACTGGAAAATTCCCTTGAGACATTACTCTTGGCCAACTTTTGAGGAGGTATGGAAGACGACTCCAGAGATAGTGATTTTGTGTGTGTGTGTGTGTGTGTGTGTGTGTGTGTGTGTGTGTGTGTAATGATATCCAGGCTGGAGTTCTGCAGTTTAAAAAATTACAATGTATCATTTTTTATTTTGAAGGACATTGATATATGAATTTTTAGAATTTGCTTGTTACGAAAGGGCAGCCTGCATCCACAACCGGGTTTTGAGGGTGATCTGGCTATATCATAGGATCAATCTGGTAGCTTCTGCAGGGGTATCATTGTCCTCCCATGCTGAGATCAGATGTTTACTGGGTCAAAGTGAGTGACCTTTCCCAGACACACTCTTGATTTTGTGCAAATAAGTAGCTGTGTTGCTTCAGTAAAACAGCCCTCCTGCCTCATTACTCTATGTACTTCTTTTAACTTTCTGCTGCAAGCTTTTAAAGATGGGGAGATTTTGCCTTTAGCCCTACCTGTGTCCCTCAGCCTTCACTGCTTTGCATGACTCTTGTACCCCACGTTACAACATATATAGATGGAGCTTCTGAAGAAAATACTATTTTACCTGTAGCATGAGAGATCCTTAGGCCCGAATTTTAACTCTCGAACATTTCATAACTCTCAGCTTATGCTGGTTTAAAATGTCGAGGCCTGTCTTTTGAATTCTCTTAGTTTGATTCCTAGTTCTTTAATCTTTTCAGCTCTTCAGTGCAGATTTCCCCTTACCTCTGCCTGTGTTTTTTCCCTTTGATGTCAGGGAAAGCAAAGACCTTTTCTTTTGAGATGCTGCATAGGTTCGGTGCTGACAGGTCAAAACTGTTGGTACTGAAGTCACCTCATTTCTTGCTATTGGCATGTTTCCTCAGCTTTCTGTAGGAAAATCCCAAATTGTTGGTACTTGTATGAGTTGTGCCTTCGGTCAAATCAGCACATCCTGATGCTTCCTCTGTGGAGTTAAGTCACCTTGCCAACTCTGTCTCTAGTTTCACCAGCAGGTGGGCTTCATTGGTTCACATCATCATTTAATTTACTGCACAAACACTGCTCTGTTGTCCTATTCCTTATAGCTGTAGAATTCATGTTTTTTACCCACCTTGGTTGATCTGGGGTCACAATCTCTGGGCAAGGGAGATTTGTCACAGAGCTTGTGCTAGAACAAAAAAGGACGACAGTGTACATCCTTTTATCCGTTGGGTGGTTCTCCAGAATATCCAAGATTTTGACGTTAGCAGCATAGGTGATAGGCTTTAGTTGAACCCTGTATTATCTTTTTGTTCGGTTGGTTTTGTTTTGAACTCTGAAGCATAGATTTTGGTGATCCTTTGTAACTGTTCAGTGCCAGTAGTTTTCACACCCAGGAAAGGTGTGAGCTACACATGCAACAAGATTAGAGAGGGAGAGAGCAGCTCAGCCCTCCAGTGTAAGACAAAAGCTGTTCCTTCAGCTGCGTCTGTCTTGAGACAGGAAACTCTTATTTTCCAGGCTGGAGCAGATTACAGGGTAAATCGAGCTGGGTGGCAAAATGCCTCCATTGGAATAGTTGTCCAGTTTTTCCTGAGTCATGACACTGAAGTGTGCTTTTTCTTTGTTTTATTTGAAGTACGGCATTGTGAATAACAAATTCCATGGTTGAAATGATCATATTACAATGAGTGAGTGACTGATTTTAAAGTAGGCCATAAAAACGACAAGCTATAATCAAAAGTGTAAAATAGAGCCTTAAAGAAACCCCAGCTTCTCAAACTAAATTTTAGTGTGGACCCCACCTAATTCCAGTGAGTATGTGACAGCTCAGAAATGAGGACAGCATTGCCGTTGCCCAAACAGATTGACATTCAAGTTATACTTAGTGAGCTCTTACTGTACCAGGCACCTGTGGGCCTAGCACAGGGCAGGAGACTTTGTGTATTATTTCAAAAATGAAATGCCAACCTCAGGCCCACCATGTCCTGAATGAATGCTGTGTAAAATATAATAAAATCTTATAGTTTGAGTAGAACCGTGTGTGTGTATGGGGGTTGGGGGGTGTTCACTTTTAATTTTCCTCCAAAGCTCGGTCTTACTGATGGAATGCGCATACTTACGGGAGGAGGCAGTCCCTGCACCACATGCGATGATGCCCCTTTATAAACAGTTATCTGTGGGGCAGGAGGAGAGGAGCAAGTGAGAGTAAAGGGAAGATCACCCAAGAATTCCAGGAAGAGGATTGAAGAGCCTAGACCTAAAGGGCCATGATATTTGAGCACTAGGGTTTGGAGTTTACAACTTACTCCTTCCCCCTAAACTTCTAGGGACCTGCCTGAGATTTTGACCAGGTTGAAGCTGCAAATGTGAATACCTGCTGGAATGATACTGATACCTGTAGCGGCCCTGGACCAGTTTTTTGTTTATAGTTTTTCACCCTGTCAGTAATAGAGCTCATGCTAATGTTATTCACAATGTTTGCAGGGAGGGGTAGGGAGAGCCACACAAGCACATGCAAGTTTCTATCCAAGCTTACATGTTTGCAGATGTTTGGGTTGTGTTTCTATCTAGTTGGAGGCCATACCTGCATCCTTTTGGTTTAACTGCCTTAACTACTCAAATTCTGGGGTTTTAAGTTTTTGCATAAATTATATAGGGAATGTAGGTTGAAACCAGGATTTTCATACAGAAAAATATGGAGATCCATGTATAAACACTAGGTACACTATTGTGCACTGAAAACCTCTAAAGCCATTAACCATGGTTATTAGAATATACATACCTCTGTTCTGTCTCACGTTGATTGCCTAGTTTTGCTGTTCTTATGTTTTGGTTGTATTAATTATTAAGGGAACGCCAAGCTTCCCACCTTAGTGGTTTTGACTGTAAGCCTGCGCTACAGCCAGATGAAACAAAACATAGGGCTCTGCTGTGGGCATCTCTGAATGACACTGACTCGGCATTGTCTGCATTGGTTCACAGCAAAGGAACCGAAGACGGGAAGTTAATACCAGCTCTGGAAATCCCATGTAGCTTTGCCAGCTCTCAAACCTGGCAAGTGGGTGTCTGTATTGGAGGCTGGGAAAAAAAAAGGGGGGGGATTCTCTAAAATCAGTATTGTTTATTCTCTAAAATCAGTATTGTTTTTCATTCCCACTTCAACCCCATCCTGTAACTACTACAGTAAAAATGTAAGACAGGTGGCCTGACATCGCACATCCCACCTGGATGAGGCCTTAGCTGCACGGGCTCCTGCTGGTGTTTTGGTTTCTGCCTCAGCAGCTTGCCTGGCATAGAGAAGGCTAACATTTGCTTATGATTTCAGGAGAGAACGAGGATCTTACTAGTGGTAAAGGCTGATCTGTCAGTCTTGAGCCTTTCTGGCCCTTGGTGAGGAGAGTCCAGGGTCAACAGGATTACAGACTGAAAAAGGAAAAGAGAAGGTATTCATACAGGCAGTGTGGAGTGCCATTTTAGCCAGTCCAGCCTTGTCAGGATTATCTTCAATTGTGAAGCCCTTAGCTTCATTGTATTACACCCCTTCAAAACTCTGGAATTTGTATTTTATGGCTAATGTACTCAGCATCAGTGAGGCTTACAAAACTTATTTCCAAACCAGGATTGCTTTTTGAAGAGTCTTTGGAAAGGGATGGAAGTTCTGAAATAGGTAAAGCTTAAATTTAGTCACAGAAAAAAAGGCTTAATATTGGTGCCAATGGTTAGAAAATGTTTCCTGTTTTCAACAAGTTGGGAGAAAGGTCCATGTTCCTGACCCCCACTCCAAAGTGAAGCCCCTTCCCATTTTTGCTATGATGGAAAGTCATGCTGCCATGTTTAAAGCCAGTTATTGATCAGGGGTTTGTAAAAGTAAAACCTTGGTGAACAGAAGAGATTACATCAATTTCCTGGACTTTTTCTCCCCTTCACTTTCATTAAAACAAGACAACCATTGAGACAGAAGCTGACACATCAGGGATGGTTGTTAGCTGCCATTGAATTGGGCCCCAACTCATAGGGACCCCATGCACAATGGGACTGGACCATTGTGACCCATGAGGTTTTCATTGGCTGATTTTCAGAAGTAGATTGCCAGGCCTTTCTTCTTAGTCTGTCTCAGTCTGAAAGCGCCACTGAAACCTGTTCAGCATCATAGTAACACCTATTGGCAGATGGGTGATGGCTGCATACGAGATGCATTGGCCAGGAATCAAACTCCTGTCTCCCACATGGAAGGCAAGGATTCTGCCACTGAACCACCATTGAAACCAGTTGCCGTAGAGTTGATTTTGACTCATGACGACCCTATGTGTGTCAGATTAGAACTGTGCTCCATAGGGTTTTTCAATGGCTGTTCTTCCAGATGTAGATTGCCAGGCCTTTCTTCTGAGGCATCTCTGGGTGGACTGGAACCCCCCCCACCTTTCATTAGTAGCAGAGCATGTTATCCCTTTGCACCACTAGAGGCTCCTGTCAGGGATTAAAGAAGGTTAAAAAAAAATACACACAAACCTTCCCTCATTTCAGCATGCTGCTTCCTCTCTTCAAGCACTCTGTTAACTCCATTGG